GACAATAGGGGGTGTTGGAGGATTTCCCCCCCCCCCCCCAATTTCACCAATTATATGTTCTTAAAGAGAAGGGAAACGTCATAGGACTAAATGGACATAGCCCATGAAAACAATAATGACACTTGTCCTTTTAATGAGGAACTTACTCTATATTCGGTGCTGCCTCTCGACAGAGAAGTGATACAATTTTGGGCAAGAAGGCATGGGCCACGGTCATGGATGTTATTGGATGAAATGTTAGATCAACAGAAATTGCAAGAACGTAGATGAGAGATTTTAGCGTGCGGCTGCACTTAGTTGTGGCAATGTTCCTTTTTAATGACCAGGACATGCGTTCAGCTGAGGAACAAAAATCATAATTGTGAGTTGTTTTGCTTACTCTTTTAATGTACCCCATTCTTTATTTGCATTTCGTTACAAGAATGCTTTTAAAATCTAGACTCTGCAGCTGTGTGGATAACATAGCTGTAAAACTTGGCTTGGCAAAAAACACAATTATGGATGGAAGAAAATACGAACGTGAGCTGACAAAGAGCTTGATAAGGTAGATTCAGAGGCGCTGTACCTTATTGCCTTCTTCATTGATAGATTTGTCATTTCCCATTTTTTTCTCTAATGTTGCTTCCATGTCTCAGCCATTTGTCCAGAATCGTTATTCTTAAATATCTAGATGACATCTGAAACCTATTGGCTCACCTCAGTTTGTATGTACAGCAATCTGTTCAATGACGCAGGGCAGACCATTCAGTCTGGATGGCAGCTGACGTACATGTTAGAAACTTTCACAGAATATTAATACAAAGAGTAAGAAAAAAAATGGTTAACTCCGCTGCAGGTTTGGTTGTGCTGCCAGTAATGATGAGGCAGCGTCTTAATTCAGTCAAGATTCATATCTGAGGCAACTGAGGAACAGTTACATGGATTTTTAAATGGAAACGTGGCCTTTTCTGGAAGGCTTTAACCCAGCAGAACAAGGACCGCATCCTTGTGCGCTATAAAAAACAGTCACTAAACAGTATTTTCAACCCCATTTGATTTAACTCCTCTTGTCCAAGAGATCGCACAGAAAGTTGCCGCACAGAAAGCTGTCCCGGCAATAGTTTTACGCTCCATCATGTTGATCAATCCATTACACCAGACGCCTCTAGACTCTGACTTCGAACAGCGATTTTAATATCCTGAGTTTGAATACAGGTTCAAGTCAGAGTATCTAGTTTAATAAGAGGCCTCGCCACATGACTTGCTCCCAAAATATGTTTCAGCAACTGCATCGTGGTCGCAAATTCCTACTGTCAGCAGCTCTGCTTTGTGTGCTCCCTGCTGCCTGAGCTGCTCTGATATTTTAAGAGGATCTAATGATTGGCTGTAATAATGTAAGGTCAGGCGTGTCATGGCAGCTGTGTGTTTGCTTGGTATGAATAAAGGCGTTTACGTGCTCCCCTTTGCCTGCCAAAGACAAACGGTTGGTAGAACTTGTCTCTTGCTGCTCTTGTCTAGGTTTAGGCACGTGTGAGTGTGTGTGTGCGCACGCACGTGTGCTCGTCATGCGCTGCGGTGTCAACAGCCCGCATGACGCAAACCTCTGTTTGCCTTATTGCGACATGCAAAGGTGATTATGATCATGCGACTGATAATGACTCACAAATCCTTGATCCATGGGTAAAAGAGTGGGTTGTTCTGTACAGAAGCAGTTGTGCAATTGTCTTTGTAGGAGTCATGCTAGTTTGACCTAAAGTGTTCAATGATTTTTTTTTTGTTTGTTTGTTTTTTAAGTTACAAGTCGCAACAAGCCCAATGAACGTTCAGCACAGTGCGATGGTTGTCATTTGACGCAGTCTCAGCTGAATTTTTACATCGCCCGATCAGTCATGTAAAGAATGTGAACTCTTGCTTGCTACTTTCGCTCTGTCCTTAGCCCTATAAATGGCCTTGCATGCACCCTGCGTCCTGTGGTTTACATCTCTTTAGCTCCCCAGGCTATCTATAAGTAGCTGCTCCAGCTTACATGTTGCTATTAATACCAACGGATTAACCACCTGTGATTTACAGGCACCTGTGATTCAGCTACCTGACACGTTTTCAGGGGAAAAACGCCTCCAAGAAAACCGACCTATGACTGGTTCTTTGTTGTACACTTTGCTGTTTCGGGGCTGAGCTGTGCTACTCCATCCAGTCACGTTTTGATATGTTTTGTTTGAAGTATATTATTATAAACTCCCTTTTCTTGGTAGCTGTTAACAAGACTCAATGTGACAGTATTTAAAAATAAACAATATATTTACATTCAAATGAATGTATTATACATCCACATCATGGGGGGAGGGGGGGGTCAGTCTGGTTTATAGTTGAATTTAACATTTTGATAATCTCCTCATATCAGTAAAGTTTCCTGCCACAGTTTGAGAACTTCTGCCACTTACAAGTGGTTCTTGTCTCCCCCTAGTGGTATAATTGTAGTTGACATTAGATTTGTGGCCTCTGGTTGCAGGGATTTGATACTAAGTTCATGAGCCAGTTTTTTTAAATTTTTTCATTTTTTTTTTTTAACGAAGATTTATTAATCAGAGTCGCCACTGCGGATTGTAATTTAGAAAGAGCAAAGTTTTGTGCCCAGTTTACCCCTTGAGATAAAAACTTGCACAGTATGAAGCAATTAAATGAGAACTTCCCATCAATTGCTCTCACTTCAAACTCTGATACATAATGCTTCTGGAGTCAGTTGAAAAATTCACTTCATGAATTTAAATGTGCCTGGAGGTTTTCACAAGGGCTTTGAAGATGGATTCCTCCTTCCAAAAAAGAATTTGACTACTGGTTTTTAAGACCTGCAAAAGCAGAAGGTTCGATACACGCAGTGAATTTTGAGCAGATGCTGACAATATGATGCCATTGCAGTGAACCCCAGGGCTGACAGTTGAAAAGTGTTACGGGCAGGTTTGTGCCTGTACCTGTTATCCTGGGGATTTACCCACAGGGCACCTTCTTGTCCAGAGTCAAGAAAATCCTGCTAAATCAGTGCTGCAGTAACTGCATGAGTGCGTGTGTGCATGCATGTGTTGAGTGTTTTGTGCTTTTCTTTTATGGGATTATTGAGCTTTAAAATGGTGAGGTTCACGGTTCACATCCCGACCACAATGAAATGATTGAGAAACTGAAATAGAAGTGGGAAAAGCCCCAACAATTTTCCGGGACTTGACATCTTTTATCATCCCTCAACTATTCGAAAGGAAAGCATGTAGATTCTTTCAAATTTTGGGTTTACGTTCTGCTGCAAATTTATTAATTGGTGTTTGAGCTGAACAATGAATCGAATTCAAACCGCTATGTTGTAGAATGCCATTTTCAAACTGCGAAGGATGCAATTTGGAGGCGAAAAAAAAAATTCTAACCATGCTATAAGACCAAGCATCTAATGTCACCACCTTCACTTTTGTCTTTCTATCTCTATCACTATCTTGATCTCACACACACACACACACACACACACACACACATGCTTAAACCGAGACGACAAGAGCAGCAAGAGACAAGCACTCATAGCCGACTTTGAAATCTTTCAGTGGGTTAGCCATTGACCAGGTTGAGACCATGACCCATAATAGGGTAGCGATGGAGCATGGCCAATAAGTCATTGTTTAAATTAACATACCATCCACAGTCATGACTTCATGAAATGCCCAACACACTTATAATACAGGAACGAATTTAAGTAAATCACATAATTTATATAAGCTTGATTTACAATATAATGCCTCTTTTTTCTTGGCACTTCCCATTTCTGATTCGGGAGCGAACAGTCAATGAGAGTGATGAATTGTCAGGGATAGCCGATGCCATTTGCAGACGATTTTATGTACTTCAGGCGCACTTTTTATGGAAGGATCACATTTTGCCAATAAATAGCACCAACAACAAGCTCAAAACACACAGCACCAGCAAAAATGTCAAAGTTTTATTATATTGTTCCCCGCCCAAAAAATGGAACGATAATTGGACGGCACGGTGATTGACTGGCTAGCACGTTGGCCTCAATGTGTGGAGGTGTGATTCGGGCGAGTTTGCATGTTTTCCCAATGCCCACATGGATTTTCTGTGGGTACTCCGGTTTCCTCCCACATTCCAAAAACATGCATGGCAGCCTAATGGAACGCTCTAAATTGTACCTAGGTGTGATTGTGGTTGTTCGTCTATGGGTGCCCTGCGATTGGCTGGCAACCGGGTCAGGGTGTCCCCCGCCTACTGCCCGAAGACAGCTGGGATAGGCTCCAGCATGCCCTCGACCCTCGTGAGGATAATGCGTATCAAAATAACTATTAAACAAACATTGTTATAAAAATCTCTTGATCAAAAAATACAAGACAGCAAAAGAAAACAAAACTTGAAGTTGTGTCATAGAAACTATTTAAATTTCACACATAATGCATTCGTTTGTCATTTCAAATACATGAAGGGGACCTAAAAATAATCACTTTTTAAATCACAATTGCAAAATTGAGGGGGAAAAAAAATCCCAATGACATTCCTTTCCCAAATGGTTGCGAATCTGCATTCTCTGCAACAAATTACTTTCAACCTTGTCTTCCTTTTCCCGTCTTGTCTTCCAGAGGATGATGTTGATTTAGAGGCCCTGGTGAATGACATGAATTCTTCCCTGGAGAGCTTATACTCCACCTGCAGTGGCCAGCAGACAGATTCTACATTGCTACTTCAAAACGGACAGACCTCAGCTTCTTCCCAGCAATACCACAACCACCATCGCCCCAGCACACACCACACGCACGTGCGGCAGGGTCACCACGTGCTAAGCCATTCCTCATCAGAACCGCCCTCCTCCACCGACCTACCCCAAGCAAGCCTACGACGCTCACAACCCATGCACATCCTGGCAGTGCGGTGAGTTGAACAGACAGTGGCCAGCCTAAATACAGATGGGCAAACATATCGAGAGTGGACAAGTTATAACCCTGTTTGGACATAAGCACTTAGCCTGTAGCACACTGTTGTAAACACAGTAGCGCTTATAGTATCAACTAGTAGGAGGAGTGTCAAGATAGCTCGACACCATTCGAACAACAAAGAATTTCAAATTTACAAATCGTAATGAAATTGAAAACTACGCATGGGGTAGTACGTAAAATTTAAAATAGCTTTCAATTCAGTGAGCTTGTTGCTGTTCTCGGCAGATCTGTGGGTGGGGGGTGGGGGAATCCTCTCCAGGGTAGTGGTAGTGCTGGCAGTAACCTGTGGGTTTGGTTTTCCTACAGACATATTCAGCATTGTCTGAATTGTCGCTGACTTCTGTTCCTCATCAATGACAAAGGCAAAAAGGATCCTATACCACTCATTCAAACTTTCATCATCGGACGTGTGTGAGTTGATCGCACAGGCATGTGAAGAATCCGTTAGTACACATACATGAACTTTTCGCATCTCAAGACCACGATACTAATGCAGCGGAGTAGATGATTGAGACACTTTAATGGTAGAGCAACAAGCTGTTGATTATTAACATCCATCAATAAGTAAAAGCACAAACTAGGGATCGACATTTGACTACATTTGCATTTGTTTATTTGTTGAACTTTTGTTTTACATGTTTATATGTTTTGATGCACACAGCATAGAGGTTGAATGCAAGTTCCGTGCCTCGGATTTCTTTTTTTTTTTTTTTTTAAACCTTTCCAAGACTGTTCCTGGGTCAAACAGTCAGTCATCAAAAAAGCCACTCATCCAAAAGGGGAAAGAAACTAACTTTGATGTTTATTGAAGTGTGGTTTTGCACAATGCATTGAGATCTCATGTAATGTAATATCGTTTGAAGTCCCAAGTTTTATGTGACTACAGAGGCACATTAATTTCAGAGGAGTTTTGTAGAATTCCAAATTGTAAAACTATAGGGGCATTCAAATTAATTGAATAAACTTTTATTTTCACATTCCAGTGATTGTACTGAATGTGGCTAGAATCTGATGAATTAATAGACAGATTTGATGGCATATTTATGACCATCACAACCCCCCCTTCCCTATTTATAAATGTTTCCCTTTAATTCCTTCATCTGTAGCCTTTCAATGCCCTCTTCCTCCTTGTCAGGCCCTGTTTGTCTCAAACACCACCATCAGGTCCAATTCTCGTTCATTTTATCATCAAGTGTAAGCCTATTTCTCGGTTTCAATAGTCGTAGCGCACACTCTCCCTGAGGCTTTCATTATAGGCTTTATCATATACATTCACTGCAGAGCGGTCTGTAATAATTATCCCTGTCCGGAGTATTTGACAGAAGTAGAGAAGAAATGATCAGGTAATAGAGTATTCTGTCTTTCAGGACTCTCGCCTCTTCTCACAAGCACACACACACACAGACACACACTCACACAAGCACCGACTCAGGCCCTGAAGTTCATATTATTCAGAGCTGACCTCTGGATAACCCTGTTCGCTAGCTCAGATGGGACGACATCAAAAGGCCCGCTCCCTTTTGAACTCGCTGGGTTCTCCAGCGAAATGATAGAGGCAGGGAGAACGAGTCGAAAAGAGAGAGTCTCCCACAATGGCTTTCTGAACGCACTATTCGCCGCCAAAAAAGATTAAATCCTGAAAAGTTTATGATCAGCTGTCAAACCATCATCCCTCTTCTGTGCCACAAGCTTATAGTGCGTGCGCCCAATTTAAAAAAAAATGCTTTAAAGAGATGTCTTATTTAATATTGATGTGTGATAAATATTGCAGAAAATTAGCCAGCAGGCTGCAGGGGTCTGTGATTTCTCCTGGCTTGGAGACTGTTCATTATGGCAAGATCAGACAGAAACAGACATGAGCTTGGGTGCTCCACAGAAAAGACCTTCTAATCTCCCCCCCCCCCCCCCCCCCCATCTTTCTTCAGACCTGGCGGGTTATTCCAAAGTTATACCCATTTTGCACTATTCAGAAAGCTGTATCGTGTCATTACCATAAATGTCAGTTCATATTTTAATTTAGTACAAAACATTTTTTAAGCGAGTCATTCTCACCGTCACGCCATTTGGTAATATTAGCGTTACCCGGCAGAGGCAAAGATAATGCGCTGAGTTTCACTGCAAATGGATTAAATCAAAACATAAACACCATAGTGTGGCTGGATTCATTTGACACAAATTAAGCACCCAGGATATGCAATTGGAAATTGAACATATATTTCATCGTCAGATACTAGTAAGACCACACTGTCTGCACTTCCTTCAGCCTTCACTGCAGAATGTAGCCCGGAAGAAGAATATTATTATGACAGATAACAAAACAAGAGACGTTATGAGATTCATTGCAGGGTGCCTATTTTGGACATTTGAGGAAAACGAGAGAGCATGCTGCCCGGGGCTGAAACAACGTATTTTAAAGTACCAGTACATCGATGTAGTCACGCGTCTCAAATATGACCTGTTAAAGCTGTGCTGGCTCATCAAGAAATTGTAGAATTCAGACAAGCACGTGATCAAGGGTGTGTTAAGTGGAAGTCCTTTACCTCTGAGCTGCCTTTCAGCGGTTCGGTGCCTTGCTCAAGGGCAGTCTAGCATCTCTCTAACAACCAGTTGCAATATGTATTTTGTCTGCAGCGGCACTTGAGTTATTGTCCGCCAGTTTCAAATTCCTTTGGGACATGCTTTATGTCTTACCATGGTAGTTTAATTTGAAAGATAGCAAAGAAACAAATGTAATCATTCATATTTTGACTGAAGAATGCACCAATCTGTTCCATTAGTGTGTTTGTAGTTAATACTTATCAAATGTTTTAAGAGTCATAAATCACTGGAAAATTAGATGAAGGCCAAGTCAAAACAAATGGAAAGTATGCTTTTCATTATTGTACTGCATATCGCCAAAGTGGTCCCCCAACCACCAGGCCACGCACCAAGCCTACTCTGCTCACAATGCGGCAAGCGGCTCTCCATTGAATCACTGAATCCTTCAATCTGATACGTCAACAAATGTAAGTGCCTCGAGAGCGTTATACTTGGTGGCCAATGACATTGCTAAGGCTCAAAAGTCATTCAATACTGTTGACTAAATAAGAAATAAAAACAGTGGATTTGTGTTTATTGTCGGAGCATTGCCCAAGTGAATGTTTGGCGGTGCGTGGCGGAGAAAAGGTTGGAAACCACTTTATATTGTTGACTCTTCGGTATGTTATCTGGCAAGATGTCTTCTCACTAATTCCCCCAATGAATATAGACCGAGACATGGAGAGAATTCCAATTAAAGTCGAAGTCAAACAATGGAGGTAGCTCGACATTGCGCCTGCAAATGTACTCACTGCGTTGGTGTCCTCTTCTCATTGTCCAGGAGGCTGCGTGAGGAGCAGCAACAGCTAAGGACCTCCTCTCTCCCTGCCATCCCCAACCCCTTCCCTGAGCTCTGCAGTCCGGCCAACTCACCTGTGCTCAGTCCTGGGTCGCTACCACCCAGAGAACCCTCCAGTGGCACATATGTAAGTGCAAACTACCCTCACCAAAATGGGAACATTTGTGCCACACTGTTGAAAGCCAAACGGTTTTCAGGGACTAGTTATTTTTCTCCAAAGCACTTTTATGCAGTTGTGGCATTTCACTCGTCAGTAAAATTGTATGTGGTTTTGCTGGATGCAAGATGCTGTCCACATATAGATAGTTTAGAGGCTTTGTCGCTTGGTGAACAGGGCAAGACATCTGCAATAAATTGGAGAATATTTTGATGGATTGTATTTGTTGTTTTGCACATTTGGAATATCGTAAATCAGTTGCACTTAGCGGTGCGTTGTGTGTTGCACATGGATGTTTTGGAATTCTCCTGTTGAACATCTGCCCCATTTTTTTTGCTAATTTTAGGCCTGGTGATTGCTAGCACATGATTTCTCATGGTACGTGTGTGTGGACTCAATGGTGTGAGTGTTGTGTGGAACAGTGCCCGTGGCAGGATGGTATATGCCTGTGCCCATTTCCATTTGTGTGTCTAAGATTAGGACAGTGGCCTGCTTGTTCATGGAGTTTGAAAGCCCTTCATCATCAACATCATCATCATCGTAGTTAATGATCTGCACATGGAGCCAGCCAGCGCTAGTTCCAGTAACATACCAGTTTACAGTAATGTGTGGCCAAACTATTTATCAGATGTATCATCCAGGGTCTGTTCTTGTCACTGATCTCTTTTGCACTTCCAGTCAAGGTATTTCTGTCAGTACAAAATGCATGTCTGAGGTTAATTATAACCTGCATACTTTATTAATGAGTTTTGCGGCGAAGTGGTGGGTTCAGATTGCAATCTGAGGAATGAATACACCTGCTTGATGTTAGTCTCAGCCTCCAAACATTACGTTTCATTCAAGTTCAAGGTCATCATGAGCGGGGAAGTTGTTTATTTCCATGTGCAGGGGTTGTAGTCTTAAATTAGAAGCCATGGCAAAGATTCAAGTCTGCACAGTAAGTTTTTAGTTTTAAGGTCAATAGGTTCAAAATGAATGTCTCTCAAAGTGACATAAGTATGACTCAGAATAAGTAGGCCAGGCAAAACAGGAATTTTGTTGACGTTTTAATTCCCAGACGGCCTATTAAGAGTGCCGTGTGGACCAGGAAATGAAGCGGGGGACTGGAAGAGGTGCAGGGGGGTTGTAAATGATGAACAGAGGTAAAGGTCTGTGATTTTTTCCCCCCCTCAATAAACCAACTAGACATTTGAATATCAGTTGATCCAGCTGAACCAGAGCCCTTTTCACTTTTTCCCGCAATGCTTCTCTGACAGCAACCAAAGCGTTTGCATACATTATAATTAGGGATGTCCCGATCACCGTTATTTGGCACCTGAATCCGAGTCTTTGGTTTTTAAGGATCTGCCAAAACCGAGTCCCGAGAAGATATCTCCGCAATACAAAAAACGCCCAAAAAGAGCATGAATGAAATGGTCTGAAATTAATATACAAGTGTACATACATACATGCATATATGATAAATAAATTTGTGTATATGGCATATAATATACCGTATTATCCGCACTATAAGGTGCTTCGGAGCATAAGGCACGCCTTCAATGAATGGCCAATTTTGAAACTGTTTTCACATACAGGGCACATCACAGTGTGTGTGTGTGTGTGTGTGTGTGTGTGTGTGTGTGTGTGTGTGTGTGTGTGTAAGAGCGCACATGTGATTCTTACTGCTTGCCTCAAAAGACAAAACATAACATTGTCTCATGTCAAAGCTAATAAAGTCCTTTTCAAATAGCAGTGCGTGATGCGATGCCAGGGGGGGTGCGTGTGACTCTGCGGAACATGCTTTTTTTGCTGAAGAGAAGAGAATCAAGTGTAATTGCGCATCCACTACAGTAGTTGGCAATGGCGCCCTCATTGTCAGAGAGTGCGCGGGGAGTATTCGTTCTACGGCAGGGGTCTCAAACTCAGTTCCTGGAGGGCCGCTGTCCTGCATGTTTTCCAAGTCTCCCTGTTGCAACACACCTGATACAATTCCGCAGAGCTTGCTGATGATCTGATCATTTGAATCAGTTGTGTTGCAACAGGGAGACTTGGAAAACATGCAGGACAGCGGCCCTCCAGGAACTGAGTTTGAGACCCCTGTTCTACGGTGTTGTTGTGTTTTTTTTGTTTGTTTTTGTTTTTGTTTTGTTTCGTTTTTGCACCGAGTAGGTGATATGAAGTGCAGGAAACAAACCCTCAAGAGACAAGATGAAAAGAAAGGCGTAGAGACGTGAAGATAATGAGACCAAAAAAAGTCACCCGAAAGCTAAGACAAGCAAATATGACGAAATGTATGTAGCGCTTGGCTTCACTGTGAGTACAGTGGGAGACGAGGAAAGACCGGTGTGTTTACTGTGCCGAAAAATGCTGGCAGCGGACAGCATAAAGCCAAATAAATCAAGGCGCCACTTAAACACATCACACCTCAATCATGCTGATAAGCCGCTGGAAAAGTTGTGCACTGCAAAACGTGCTCATCGTAGCCATTAATCCTGACTTCCTCATTTTGATTAAAAAAAATAATTTAAAAAAAAAGAGAGAGAGAGAGAGAGAGAGAGAGAGAGAGAGAGAGAGAGAGAGAGAATCAGCACAAATTGTTTTATTCATTTTTATTTTGTGGACTAAAGTGTTGTATATATTCTGTTCCTGAGTTAATGTTGTTTTTAGAATGATGCGGTGGTTCAAATGGTGCAACAAGATGGTCAAAAATGTTTAAACAAGGATTTAAAAAAAAATTATTTCAGGCAAATTGGTGCATTTCATATGGTTTCTGTTACAGACTAAAAAACAATGTTAATAAAGTTATTATTTGCTGTAAATTGAACCATATTTCTTTTTTTTTCTTTTCTAATGTTAATAAGTATACAATATAATGCGGAAGTCTACTTATAACAATTCCATAGACAAATGATCATTATTGTGGCGCTTGATTATTTGGTCACCTTGTGATGTATAAATGAAGGATACTAATGTTTTTGTCCCAATCAGCTGAAAACCACCTGATCGGCCCCGATCTCTGATCATGTTGATCACATCCTAGTTAAAATCGTGGTCTCCCTTCAGTGTGTCCCTGTTTTAGTGCTCATGTGATGTATTCTCAAAAATATACTGTATGTTAAGAAGAGGCATATTTTTTCCCAGTTTTGTTTTGCTGGACCAAACATTTGCAATGGAGATCTCAGGAAGAGCTGTGGAGAACTGAAGTCCTTGTGCATATTTTCAATGTACACAGTGCAAACGCTCATGTAAACTGGTGCGAGAGTTCTTTGGCACCCATCCGTGCCTATGACTCCATTTGTTTTCTGGTTGTGTGTTTGCAGCTCTGTCTGCTTGTTTGCCTTTTGTGAGTTCTGTAAACTATTTAGAGAATTGGCAGTGGCTGTCCGTCGTTGATGGCAATGGAAAGTATGTCTCATTGCGGTTCTTTTTCAGTGGAAATTCAATTCAGCACCTTGTCCACTCTGACTAAACCTCCCACAGACATGCCTCTGGATGTGTGCGTACGCCGTAACACTAATTCCTTGTAGGCACTTGAGTGATTCCAAGACAGGAATGATATGTTGAGTGTTCGAAATGAGGGGAAGGAGGTTGGTCGCTCTCACTCTGCACAACCCTTGACCTTCAGTTTTAAACACAGGTGTCTTTTGTGTGTGTGTGTGTGTGTGTGTGTGTGTGTGTGTGTGTGTGTGTGTGTGTGTGTTTGTTTGTGTGTGTGTGTGTGTGTGTGTGTGTGTGTGTCTCCCTTGACTTCTCTTTTTCTGTCTTCTTGTGTGAGTACTTCTCTGCCTCCTCACATACATGTCGTCCAGTCAGCTGGCGTGCTGAGAGGTTTTTCTATTTGTTTTACTGAATTCCTGAAACCTCCAGGCGCTCTCTGACAGACACATAATGCCCCATTCCCCTCCCTCTTGCTCTACCAACTCCCTCGCCTCAGTGCAGGAACCACGAGGAAGTAGCACACAACTTTCAGGAATGACTGGGCAAGCTCACAGCTGCGGCTGCAGTGGTCCCACTTACTTCCATTTCCTCAGCTCTCATTACTCTGATCTTGGCATGTTTTATTTGTGAAAAATGTTTTGTTCATTCCCTCTCTTGTGAAAGGATTGAACTAAATTTCACTCAATGTTATCAAGGAACACTTGTAGTACTCTCTGGTTTATTTGGAATTCTATACATATAGGTGCACAATGTTCAAGTAAAGAACATTAAAATGTATATGTACCATTTGCCGGCGAAACCTCTACATTAATAGACAGTGTACACTTGATGAATCTCTCAATTGTGAGTAGTTAAGTTTTAGTAGTTGAAGAAATATTAAGTTTCGAACTCAACGAAGAATCATTTTACTAATTGCAATTTCAATCTCAATCAAAATAATCAGGATTATTTTTTTTCCCCCTCATAACATCCAGCCGAAGTTTGTGTTTGAAATGGATCGTTTGTGACACCAGTTCTGGAACTTTTCTCACACAGCTCGCTTAAGTCTTTTAAGCATGTGGGACATGCTTAAGAAAAAATGAAAATCCATTTTGCTGTTGCACAAATACTCATATTCCATACAATGTAGGTGCTTCTCTGCTCGGTGGTGTAAGCAAGAGTGTAAATTTACTGGGACGCCGTGTCCTTGAAGTCGACCAAGTCCTTCCTGTGTGGGAATATTCATTTGATCGCAGCGTTGCCAGATTTTCTTGGATTTACTGTACTTGGACTGGATGTCCTCAATATCACTGCTTTCTATTGCACTATCCCCACGTCCTGCCTCTCTGGTCTGTTTCTCATTATGTCCCTTTTCTTTGGGTATAGAAAGATTTGTGTGAGAGATACTATTTTATTTTTCTGAGCCTGGCTCGCTTCTTCTATCTCTTCCTCATCTAATGTACAGTCATGTCTATCTGAATGTTTGGGCTACTCAAGGGTGCTTTTAAGTAGTGACCACTCAAGGTTTAGCTGCATAAAGCATGCTTATTCACTCAAGATGAAATGCAAGT